AAAAAAAAAAAAAAAGGATCAGTGGCCAGGCGCTGTGGCTTGCGCCTGTAATCCTAGCACTTTGGGAGGCCAAAGCGGGTGGATGGCCTGAGCTCAGGAGTTGGAGATTAGCCTGGGCAACACGGTGAAATGCTGTCTCTACTAAAATACAAAACATTAGCTGGGTGTGGCAGTAGATACCTGTAGTCCCAAGTACTTGGAAGGCTGAGGCAGGAGAATTGCTTGAACCCAGGAGGTGAAGATTGCAGTGAGCCGAGATTGCGCCACTGCACTTGAGCCTTGGTGACAGAGCAAGACTCTGTCTCCAAAAAAAAAAAAAGGATCAGTAAGTGGCCAAACTGAAATTAAAACCTAGGTTGTTTGAATTCCAGCCTAGTGATTTTTTCCACATGACCAGGTTGTACCTAAATGAATAAACAAAGCCTTGGGAGCAGGGGCGGTGAGGGGGCGGCCTGGGGGAGGTACTAGATGCAATACTAAATTACCATGCATTACCAGTTAGCTTTTATGGTTTCAAAACAGGTTCATCCAGAAAAAGACCAGTTTTAACAGCATGGGGAGTGCTGTGTGAAGTTCCCGCTCATTAAAGACTTCGTATTGGTGGTTACAACCATGGAATGAAAGAGACATGGGATTATAGAGAGCATCTCCTTTAGCCCTGTTGGATTTGAATATTTTCATCCCGGAAAAGGTGGCCTCTTTCTTCTTGCCTCTCAACCCAATGCCTTCTTGGCCTCCTCTTGTCCTGCACCTCATCATCTGACTACTGTCATCCCAAAAGAACCTGAGCCACTCCATCCACACCGTCTGTGTTCACAGTGAGCACACAGAGCTCAATGTCTGTGACACTGCAACGTTACTTTCTTTTTTTTAAGAGAGGAATGGCTTTGTCGCCTAGGCCACAGTGTAGTGGCACAACGATAGCTCACTACCGCTTTGAAATTCTGGGCTTAAGCAATCCTCCCAGGCCATTTTTTTAATTTTAATTTTTGTAGAGACAGGATCTTGCTATGTTCCCACAGGCTGGTCTCCAAAATGCTGGGATTACAGGCGTGTACCACCTTGTTCAGTCCCAAACATTAATTACTTTTAAGGGGGATATTTCAAACATAAAGAAAGGTTTGAACACTTTAATAAGAAACACCACTGATTCTCCACAGAGATTTTTAAAAAATGTTACATTTGTGTGTATTTCATAGATACAGTAGAACCTTCTTTTGTCTCATTCCCCTCCCTGCCTGCCTAGAGCCAGTCATTGTCACAAAACTGGTGTGCGGCCTTTCTGTCCTTTTTAAGCTTTTATTGTATGTACATTTGCCCTCATAAACATTACATAGTATTGCTAGGTTTTTTTTGTTTTATTTTTCTGAAGAGGCATCATCACTTACATATATCGTGTTGGATTTTTTCCACTCCATGTTCCTTTTGTGAGATTTAGTCACGACAATACAGTAGTGATCATTTCTACATCATTCCCACCTCGTGATGTTGAGCTATGATGTGTCCTATGCCTCACAGTCTTTACCAGATGATGCGTAAATTGAATAAAAATGCATGTCACAGCGCATCTCTGGAGGTTCCCCAGCTACAAGGGATCTGACACACACAGTTCCCCCTCACTTTCTGCTCCCTCACTCACTCTCCACAGAGGCAACTCTGGCTCCAGAGGATACACCGCTTTGCCAAGAATCAACCAAGAATCGATATTATTATTTTAAACCTTGTTTACTGAACAAGAATTTACTTATTAGAGAAACTGAAACTGTCATTTCAGATCTCATTTATCATGCTGTTCACACAGGTGATCACAAATCACCTTCTGATGTGAAACTCTAGGTCTAACTCCGAAACTCTTCAACATTTACTTAACATGTATCAATCAAGCGCCTTTCTAAAAAAAATTGTAAAATACAGATAACATAAATGCAGCATCGTAACCATTTTTAAATGTACAGTTCTAATAGTGCTAAGTCCATTCACATCGTTCAATTTCTCTTAGTCCTATGTGCTACCAACAGAACAAAATGATGCTCATGAAATCTAGGTTGAGGAGAAACGAAAAAGAAGAGAAAGAAAAGACAGGTTAAACGGTGCAGTGAAAACAAAAACAGCCTTAGGTGGGAATGAATCCAGGCCCTGTCGTTAAAACGCTGCATGGCTTTGGGTAAATCTAACCTTTTGGGGAGTTCTCTTCCTCGTCTGAAAAATGAGAGGTTCGGTTTAGATGACCTTGGAGAACTCTTTCAACTCTAAAGCCGCTTATGTAGAAAAGGAGAGGAAAAATATTTCCTAAGGAGCAAAAAATGGGGCGCGCACCAGTAACGCCCAGCTCCACCTGTTTCCTAAGATCTTGGCCAAGAGCTTAAGAACTATCCCGGGCGAGTAGCCTGTTCTGTCTACTACCCTGTTTCGCGTGGAGCTCTGCAGCTGGCCAGGTGCCACCACCACCTGCACCCCATTCCACCCTCAGCATCCAGGGATCTGCCTCTTGAGCACCCCCAATCCCCAGGTCCCGAGGTCGGCATCTCTGGTTCTCAGACCAGGTATAGGTGGTCCTGCAATCACAACATCCACGCTGTGTCATACGGCGAGGGAGTGCATTGCGAGGAGGGCACCAAGCGCAGCTCAGATGAACGCCTCCAGGGCTCAGAACGAGCACGCCGGGGCAGGGCAGCTCCAGGCGTCACTCAGGGTGCGAGGCAGAGAACAACGAGGCGTGCCTAGCCAGCCCTGCGCGCCGAGGCTCCAGGACTGAGCGCTCGGCCGAGCGTGCTCAGTGCGCCTGCGCTGTGCGTGAGCGCGCTCGTACGCTCGCTCCCCGGGCGGCGCGCCTAGGCGCTCGCGAAAGCTCGCGGTGGCTCGGAGGCGCGCGCCGGCGGTCCTCGGCCGCTCCGGGTACCCGAGGGACGCGCGGCCGCCCCCGGCCGGCGCTGCAGCCCCCACCCCTTGGAGCCAGGGGCCGGGGTCTGAGGTGAGCCCCCCGAAGCGTGCAGGCCCCCAGGCCAGGGTGGCGGGAGAGGGAGCAGCGAGTGTGGAGCCCGAGGAGGCGCTTGCTGCTCCGCCTCAGCCCGCGCTGAGGAGCCAGCAGCAGCCCGGCGCCTCCTCCTCAGGGATCGTTCCTCTCGTCGCGGCCACAACAAAAGCCTTGGGCGCCGGGCTGGGGCTGGCGGCGGAGCTGGGGCCCGGGCCCGCGGTGGCGGCCGGGGGGCGCGGGGACGCCTAGTTTGGGGCTCAGGGCTGACGCGGCGAGCTGCCCCGGGAGACGGTTAACCCTGTGCGCCCTGAGCCGGCGCTCGGCAACCTGTGCGAGTGTGGACCGCGGTTTGCTCGCCGCCACCCCGGCCCAGATCCTGCGCGGCTCGGAGAGGGGCCCGGCCGGAGCCGGCTGCAACGTGGGGCGCCGGGGGGCGTGGGCGGAGGACAATGCGCCGGGGACTCCTGGCCGCCCGAGGCGCGCGCCGCCAGGTTCCCGGCTCCGGCTCGGGTCAGCGTCGGGCCCACCTTTGCCTGCCCACGCCTGAAAGTTGTCCCCTCCCGCCCATCAGTTTCCAAAGTCCTCGCTGCCTGCCGCGCTCATCCTCCGGCTGCCCCCTCCGCGGGCTGTGGGTTTGCGGCGGAGCGGGCGCCGCCGGATCCCCGAGGGGCCGCCTCTCAAATCAAGCTGCGGCGAAACAGCCGGCAAGGTTAAGGAGCCTTGTGCCTTTCAAGACATGTAAACATCTTCCTAGAGGCGTTTTCCATCTTAGTCTTGAGTTCGATCCCCCTGCTGTAGCAGAAGGCAAGGGGCTTTTCTTGATTTTGTTTTTAAGAACAAAAGCACGTGCCATGAATTGAGGCCGTGGAGTGGACTCCAGATTTAGAGAGATCTGCCCCATGAAGGAGGTCCGGCGTTTTGCCCAGTGTAGAATGACTCTGAATTTTGGTTCTCGGCTGGAATGAGGGAGATGCAGCAGAGCAGAACAGCCGCGTCAGTGAGTGCTACGGGAAAGTGTTCAGACACTGCCTCGTCTTAGAGAAGTAGTTCTGATCCGGAATGCTTAGTGACGGGAGTTGAGTGACTTTGCAAGGCCAATATAATGTGAGCAAGGAAACAAAGACTTGCCTACCCCTGGGGATGTAACGTCCCTCCCTCACCCTACTTAGTCCTTGGTGGTGTGCTGGTTCGGTTCCTGCTTTGTAGGCTGGAAAAGGAATAGAAACCCTTAGTTCTGTTTGTTAAGAAGTGGTTACTCCTGAAGATAATGCTTTCCCTCTTTACTTTTAAACAAATCAAAACTATCTTTTTCCTCCGGAAACAAAGAAAAAAACCCACAAAGATTTTTTTTTTTAAATTCGGAGTTGGAGAGCCTAGGAAAGAGGTTTAAGAGCTTGACTGGGCAGGGCTGGAAGGATGGAGCTGAAGATAAAATATAATTAAGATGCAGCCCTTCTTGTGCCATATCCTCCCGCCCCATTGTTTGAAACTATTAAGAAAATAAGTAAATTACTGGTAAAGCCTATCATTCTACTCTCTTTCCTCCTACCCTTTTCCCTCATCCATTACTAATATTCTCTGTCTCCATCTCTCCTCAATCTATGAAAGTGTCCCATTTGGAAAAGAAGAAGAAAGACAATGAGCTGTTTCCTCATCCTAGCTACACTATGCTTCTGAGCTTTATTTTGTGCTTTGAGCATTCAGGTAGATATTTCTTGGGAGTTCTGTGATTGAGATATTTCAAGTAGAGAGGGTGAGGGGAATTTAATAGCAAAGTGCGCATTCTCTTTTTGTATGGAACAAAGTGAAAGCTTTATCACTGGGGAAGGAGAGAGGAGTTTTTCCGCTCACACTAAGTTTTCTGTTTCCCAGGAAACAGACTTAAATTTCATAATAGTTTGACAGGGAAATTCTAAGATTTTATATTCAAAACTTTTTCTGAGCATGTGAATTTGTTGATGTTAGGCTGCTGTTGACTTTCTTTTGCTTCAGAGGCAGATGGTCGGAAACAGTTCTTACCACTTCATTGAGTATTGGCCTCAAGTTGTTTTTTTTTTTTTTTCTTCCTAACCCTAGAACTCTAGAATTATGCTTGATTAAAACTGCAGCTGTCCACAAAAATAAAAAGAATGACTTTGAAAATATGTACTGAATAAATTATTCAGTATCAATTGGAGAAAAATGCGTGGTAGAGTCTCGAGGAAAAAAATTAGATTTTCAGTAGTGATAGTTCTATAATACTAGGAACAAATGAAGAGTAACAGCTTCTCACTGGCTAGGAAAGAGTTTTAACTACTATGTCAAAAATGAATTTCTTTTTGTTTTCCAATTCACGTTGGGAACTATTGACAGTTTGGTATATTCAAGAAGTGCATTGTATATGAAGTTTGAGATGAATATAACTAGGCTATTGGACCTAAAAGCCAAATCCTGGTCCCCAGATTTTGTCTCTTTGAAATAATTCTGTAGTCAAAGCATGCAAAACCATACAGCCTTGTTAAGGGGAGGAAAGCAGGGGCTTGGTATTAGAGAATTTTTTTATAACAGATTTAAGGGAAGCTGAGCTGAAATTTCAGCTCTTTTTTAAGTCCAGAATCTGTCTTTTTCCAGTTTTATTTTTGGGTTACTTTTTAAAGATCTTCTTTATTCTTTAGTCTTAGTAATTAATAATTTCTAAATAGAACAGAATTTTGATGCCTACCATTCATTTAAATTTTGAACCTAGATGGATTTATTTTTCCTCTGTGTGTGCATGTATGTGTGTGTTTTAAGCCTTAATCACTTAACACATTGAAAGATTAGGTTAGTTGTTGTAATCAGTAGATGATGACAAGAACGACTTTAAAAATTAGATGAAGTAGGAAAGTTCAGAAAAGAGATTAATAGGACTCTAGGTCCTGTGAATTAAATATGAAACCATATAAACTTTCTTATAACAACCAGTAGGCAAAGGGCCAAGGACTACATAGACTTTAAGAAAAGGAAAGTAACATTGGAGCGATGAGTATATACTCTGTATATTTTGTCTAACAAGACAATAATTTCCTTAAGAGAAGAAACTTATTCATAGTCATTTCGAATCCTTGCAATGTGTTCTTGATAACGTGTCTGAGAAAAGACAAAGAACATCCCTCCTGTTCCCTCTGTAGCCACTATGTAACCAGCATTTACTTTGAGACAACCTTTAGATAGTCTTTCTCAATTGGAAATGCAAAATGTTACCTACATTTATTAGGTGTCAAGAAAATGAAATCTCAGCAGAACGATGAAATGGATCCTTTCCTTAAAGAAAGTGTGAATTGGAATAGAGTTGCTGGACATAATCCTTTGTTGTAGAACCCCTTGACAAGCCCTTAGGGCCCACTTTTCTCATCATCCTTTCTTCTGGGATTCAGCCTGCTTTCCACTTCACAGTTGCCACCTCCTGAGTTTCCCGCTGAGTTCTTTGGGTCTGATTTTGCAGCCAGCCAGGGAAGACAGTCTTCCAAGATTGGAATTTCTTCCCTTTATTGCTGTCTTTCAGGACAAATACTTAGTTGATATTATTTTAAGGACTTTTACTTTTTGTCATCAAAAGAAACCTGATAAATAATGATTGGGCAATATAAAATTCCTGATGTTACACATTCATAAAAATAAAAATGTGTAAGCTTTAAAGTATCTGGTTCTTTTTGTTTTCTGATGGAGTGTTAACCAAGTAACTTAGTCTGAAATCAGTTTTCCAGATAGCCTATGTAGCTCTATGGAGAAGTGAATATGTCTCTTTTCCCACACAAAGGACATAAGCAACTCTTGCATAGCATTCACTTTTTACAGGGCCCTGGCCCCTGAAGCTGCTTACTCCAATTATGTTAATCTAGTAGGTCCCTTTTTTTCCCCAGTTGATATGCTACAGTTTCTTATAATAAAAAAATGATAATAAGAATGCCCAAAACAAGTGTTAACCTTTATTTAATGACTTGCTATGTTTTGGTAGGATGTCTTTGGGTCCAGAATCTTTGTTATGTCCTGAAAGTCTGGAACTTCAACTTACAACTTTTCCATGGATGACCTTACCTTAGGAAAAATGGCATACTCAGTTGATCGTGATTAGAAGCAGATAATTCAATGTTATTGGAGACATATTATTTGAAATGCTTATCAAAAGTTTAAATTTTTAAATTTTATTTATTTTTTTTTGAGACAGGGCCTCACTCTGTCACCCAGGCTGGAGTACAGTAGTGCATTCTCCACTCACTGTAAACCTCCGCCTCCCACATTCAAGTGCTTCTGGAGCCCCAACCTCCTGAGTAGCTGGGACTACAGGCACATGCCACCATGCCCAGCTAATTTTTGTATTTTTAGTAGAGATGGGTTTTTGCTGTGTTGGCCAAGCTGATCTCAAAACTCCTGGCCTCTAGTGCTCTGCCTGCTTTGGCCTCCCAAAATGCTTGGATTACAGGTGTGAGCTACTATGCCCAGCCAGGAATGTTTATCAGAAGTTTTTAAAATTGTGTGTACCATTTGATTCAGTTGATTGGTTATCTGACTCTTTTTAGTATTGAAAATCAGATTTTGACTCTTACTAAATTGATCATCACTGATTTGCTTTTCTTACTAGGTACAATAGAACAGTAGTGTATTCCTTGGCTTGTTGCTTAATTAGTAGTCAATAAACCAGTCATTTTGCTAGTTTTTATTCTTGTCAGCTAGTCAGCATACATTTATAGATTTAGCAGAGTTAATCACTTCATACACAAAATAATGTACTACAGGTTTTTTCATTATTTCCCATAAAGCATTTAATATTTTATTTTTAAACAATCAAAATAGTTTTACTTTATTACATATACTTATTTTTTTCTGACAAAATGGGAGCTATACATATATACTGTTTTGTGAATTGTTTTTTAATTTTTTTTCTGTTTATTCTTACTGTCTTCCCATATGAACAAATACAGGCTTATGCTCATCATTTTTAGTAACTATAATCTATTGTGGTTGCACCATAATTAATTTAACCAGTTTCTTATTGGTAGACTCTTAGGTTGTTTACAACTTTTAGATTTTTTTTTTTTTATTGTTACAGACAATGTGACACTAATATTTTGGTTGTGCATCATGTGTACGTACGTGTTTACTTAGTTATAAGATGGATTTACTGGATGAAATTGTGTACATTTTAATGATTTTTTATATAAGTAGCTACTTTTTTTTTTTTTTTTGAGACAGAGTCTCACTCTGTCACCAGGCGCCAGGCTGGAGTGCAGTGACGCGTTCTCGGCTCACTGTAACCTCCGCCTTCCGGGTTCAAGAAATTCTCCTGCCTCAGCCTCCCGGGTAGCTGGGACTACAGGCACGTGCCACCACGCCAGCTAATTTTTTTGTATGTTTAGTAGAGATGGGGTTTCACCATGTTGGCCAGGATGATCTCGATCTCTTGATTTCATGATCCACCCACCTCGGCCTCCCAAAGTGCTGGGATTACAGACTTGAGCCACCGAGCCCGGCCTGCTACTTTTTATTTTAAAATACCAGCTAATTTACTAATAGCATTTGAAAATGTTGAAATGTTTGAAGGTGTTCTTTACCCCATATCCCCACGCTATACTGGTTCTATCATTATTGTTTTTTCCCATCTGATTGGCAAAAATCTTATCTCACATTTACATTTTTTATTATTAGTGCATTTGAATATCTTTTCATATGTTTTCTTGGCTATTTGTATTTCTTTTGTAAATTTATGTCCTTTGCTTATTTTTCTATTAAAATATTATCCCTTATCTGCTTATATTTTTAAAATTTATTTTATATTTATAATTACATAAACTATACCTTTATTCTTTTTAATTATTTTGTTCTAGGATAGCATTTCTCAAGACCTGACTCATGAAGCACTTGTAACCTGAGGTAATCATTAGAATGTGTTTCATTCTCCAAGATTCAGATTTCTTAGACCTGTGGGGGAATCCATGAAACTGCCACACTTTAAGATTAGAGAACTGCTATTTTGAGGAAAATGAAAATTCTTTAAATAACACCTATGGTTTGCCTGTTTTCTTTTTGTCTCACTGCATTCCACTGTTGTTTTTTCCCTTCTTTGAATAATCATAAACTACAGTCTTGCTATATCAAGCTTATTGTCCTTTCACAGCTTAACAGTAGATTTTACAAAAGCATCTTGGTACATGGTAATTTGAATGTCATGGTACATAAGGAAGCGCTTTTATAAGAAGGTAGGATGCTTTACTTGCAAGTAAGGCAAAAGGAATAATAAGAGGAAACCAGGTAAAATAGATGGAATAGGCAGAAATGTAAGGCGACATTTCAGCTAGTTTTGAAAGCTCAGTGAGATATTGGTCAGTTTCTTCCTCAGGTTTTATGTGGTAGTCTTCTTTGACCCATTGATTTGAAACCCATACCTGTTTGAAAACTAAATTAGTCTCAATGAAATTTTTGAAATTCTTGGTGTTACTGTATACATATTCAAGAGGGAGTAATGTTCCCTTTAATTTTTTTAGTTGCAAGCAAATGAACATGCTACATAAGCAATAAACTACAAAGACCGAACTTACATGGATATTTTAATACTACAATCAAATAAAACTTTCAACAGTTATTTGACATATTTAATGATACGCATAATTGTTACTGTGCTGCATGGTAATTAAGATAAGTATATTTTTAACTGTGGTTAATAACAGTTTTCTATAGACAGACCTCAACATTTGTGGGGAGAAAAAAATATGGCAGGCCAAGAAGCTGTTTCAGAAATTTCTGATACAGAACGTAAGGGGAGCTTTAAGGCTTCTTGAGCAGGGTTTGCGTTTAACCTCATTTCCTAATTCTAGGGACCACAGACTTTTCTTTTTCCCTTCTGTTAGTCAAGACCATCTACTAAAGGGAGAAATGGGGAAGATTCTGCCACTGTTTTACTTTCTACCAATAGTTTTCTGCCTGGTAACTGAAGCTTGGGACATAGAGGTCCCAATCATTGATAATGTGCAAAGGACAGTTTCTTACCCTGCTTAAGTCAAAGCAGTTCCAGGTCTCATGTCTAAGTTATCATAGGTGCTAGTATTTGAGTTGACCTGTTCATCTGGATCTTTGAGAATTTCTGAACCTGAATTTTTTATCTTTTCCCAACCTAGGCTCACCACAACAAACATAAGACTATTCAGTGCATATGAAACAAAATGAAATAAAAGCAAAGTTAACATCATTACTAAACCAAATCAAAATGTGATAGCTTAGAATATGGTTTTTTTTCATACCAGACCTGCCTTCCACTCTACCCACACCCTCTTAGTTCCAATTGAGAATCACATGTATTTTTGCCCCTGGAAAGTACATACAAGTGAGAAATTCTAAAGCTCCTTGGAAATAATAACTGGGAATTATTTCTATTTTTGCTGTGACTTTTTAGGGATAATTTCTCTTCTCTGTGCAGCATGGCTGTGTATAATGACCATTTGTTGATGAAATATTTCTAAGTCTAGTGCTACATCTATGCAACTAAATTTTTGTATTATCTAAAAAAAAAAATGTAATACTGTGAAAATTTCCTAATATTTTAGAACCTTCTATATATCAGTTCAGTATTGGTTGATAGAGGTAGCATTTGTATAAACTAACTCAGTGATTAAAATGTCTAATGTTTAATACTGAGTTACCATTTATGAAGTATTTTTGCATACATTACCTTATGATTCACTCATATCATCCCTGTGAGTAAGGTGGTATTGGAATCATTTTCAAGAAGAAAAATTCTGGGTGCATAGAACTTAAGTGGTCTGTTTATGTTCACACGGCTACAAAGAGGCTTGAATCCGTATCTTTTGACTTACTTTTCAGACCACTTTCACGGATGTCTTCTGCCACATCAGTTAATGCAAAAATATACTATTCAAGATTAAAACATACAATTTTAAGTTTGATAATTTAGGTTATAAGCATAATATATATCATTTAAATAAAATTTAGGACAATAGCATAAGAATTTTTCAAAATAGATCAATTATATATTGTGACCGTTGAAAAATTCTCATCATAGATGAAAAGTTAAACCATGTATTATAGAAGCAACTGAGGGAAGAAAATTAAATTTGCATTTAAAGGTTATTTAAGGATCATTTCAGCTATAGCATAAATGATAAAGTAGAAAAATTATGTCTATAAAGTACACACATATTATTAACTGTTAGGTCAGTATAATATCTCTCATCAAAGATTTTTAATGTCAAGTCCATAATACTTTGGGAGGAAGTGACTAATGTCTCTCATTTTTAAAATAATGCTTTTCAGATATTTCAGTCGAAGGAAGAAATAGCTCTTCTCCTAAGATGGAATCTGTGGTTTGGGAATGTGGTTGATCAACTTGATGTGTTGGCCAAATGTGCCCCATGTAATAAAATGAAAAGAAGAGACAAGATGATGTCATTTTCCCATATTGTGAAACCAAAAACAAACGCCTTTTGTGAGACCAAGCTAACAAACCTCTGACGGTGCGAAGAGTATTTAACTGTTTGAAGAACTTAACAGTAAGACATAGAAGAAGTACCTTCAAGCTGAGACCTGCAGGTGTATAAATATCTAAAATACGTATTGAGTAGGCCTGATCATCAGAATCTCATTCAGATCCAGGAAAGATGGCTGTGAGTTGGATCGTCTTCTCTTTTTGGCCCTTGACTATGTTCGTGGGGCATATAGGTGGGCACAGTTTGTTTTCTTGTGAACCTATTACCTTGAGGATGTGCCAAGATTTGCCTTATAATACTACCTTCATGCCTAATCTTCTGAATCATTATGACCAACAGACAGCAGCTTTAGCAATGGAGGTAAGACTTGATCTATTATTTGATATATCTTAGTAAGTGACTCTTACGTTGGCCCGTCAACCAATCAATGAGTATGTTTGATAAACAACAGGAAAATAATATGTTATTTTAAATTATATCTCATACATTTAAAATTTTATATGTTTTGCCTCAGACTCTAATAGATTGAAGAATTCATGTTTGGTGAATGTTACCGTTATATTTTAGACATTATACTTTTATAAAGAAATTTGAAACATCAGAAAATGAGACATTAATAGCCATTAAGAAGTTTAAATTTCAAGAATAACTCCCAAGCAATGAAAAAGTGTTTGTCAGTATGAGTTATCTGTTCTTGATCTCGCAGAATTTTATGAAAGCTTGCTGCCTTATTTGAATTTTTTAATGGTAATTCTTCAGCATTTTTAAATGATTTCAGTTTAGAAACCATTTCAAATTTAGAAACTATGAACACTTTAATTGATATAGTTAATAATAGGTTTAAATAAGTGTATATATGTCTATAATGGTTTTATAATTGAGGACAGGAGTATATATACCAGATAGGAACTAGGAGGCAGTAACCAGTGGTAATAATAGCATAGGCTTTGAGTTAGACCAGCCTGGGTTTGAATTCTGCCTCTACCACTTTCTAGCTATATACTTTGGCCAAGTTATATCAACTTTCTCTTACAAGCATAGTTTCTTTGCTTGTAACTTAGAGGCTTCTGTAAGGCGCAAAGTGAAAATACATGTATAGTGCTTGGCACATAATAAGTACTCTATAAGTGATAGCTTTTATCATTTATTCATATTCTCATATTAACGTGGCTACATAATATAATTTAGAGGGAGTGTTTGATACATTAGTCTTTAGTCTATTTCTGTAGTGCTTTAAGCAAGTGGAAGCCTACATGTTTTGGAATTCTTCTCTTTCTAATAAAACCAAAAGGTTCATCATTTTGAGGAGACTACCCTAAGTCTGAGAAAATTTGTAAGATTATTATTCATAGATTTTGAAGTAAGGAGAGCATCTTATATATTCCATATATTTGAAAATGCTGTAGAGGTTGAACAAAACATTTTTTGCTTTTCCTCTGAATACGTGAGGTCTAATTGGTTGAAGAGAAGAGATTTGGTTATAGACTGTTGAATTAGGATATATAAAAGTGGGTATTGGTTTAATACAGTAAGTTTGTTCCAAGCATGGTAGTCTTTGCTGTGGATTAAAGCTATCGATTTCTCACAGAAAATTGAGTTAGAAACATTTTTATTTCTGGTATCATTTTAAATCATAACTCCTTTGCAAAGCAAATAGGTTAATAAGAAGCAGGTCATAAAGATGTTTGTCCTGACTTGGGTTCAGATTTTGGCTCTGCCATGTAATAAGCTTTAAGACTTTGGACAAGTTACTTAACACCCTGGATCTTTGTTTTCTTCGTTTGTGAAAAGGCAGTATAATAATACACCTGAAGGGCTGTTAGGATTAAATGAAAGGTTTATAAAGTAGCTGGCACAGTGATCGTACACAATAGGTGGTTCACAAATGTTAATTCTATTCCAGATTCCATTTCTAAATCATCTAAAGGGAAGTAGGAGAAGTACCATGTATTTGCTCCAGTGAATTTGCATCCCTCATTGTAGGTTCATTCATTCATAGTGATAGCATGATAGACTCTCTCTGCCTTCTCCAATATACCCAAGTCTAGATATTTTAGTGACAATCGAGTTGCCTCTGTTTGAATTTCAGACATTCTAGGGAGAGCACCTAAGTGAGTAATAGTTTCTAAGAGAAGGCTGTAATGACTTGAAGTAATGCTGGGAATAGTTGCATATTGCATGGTTGTCCTGTCAGGACAGTGATGCCACTGACAGAAGGAATAATCAAACACAATTTGAGAGTGTAATGTTTCTTTAGGAGCAAATGACATGGAAACTCAGCAGACAATACAGCCTGCTCAGTGCTGCTGGTGACACCCTCCACCTCCATCCCTCTGCTGATCTAGGAACCAGCTTAGCAGGCACACATAATTGGAGCAAACCCAGCACATTCTTGGGTGTTTGCTGTGAGACTGGATGAATTCAAAGACAGTTTCCTAGGTGTAACATCTTTCAGCAGGCCTCAGGCTTTAAGCCTGCCTAGAGTCCATTCCATTTTTGTTTCTTTGTGCTTTTTTTGAGGCATGGTCTCTGTGGCCCACACTGGAGTGCTATGGTGTAATCACAGCTCACCACATTCTCAACCTCCCAGGCTCAGGTGATCCTCCTGCCTCAGCCTCCCAAGTAGCTGGAACTACAGGTGTGTGCCATCACCCCTGGCTAAGTTTTTTGTATTTTTTGTAGAGACAAGGTTTTGCCATGTTGCCCAGGCTGGTCTCAAACTCCTGGACTAAAGCGATCTACCCACTTGGGCCTCCTAAAGTTCTGGGCTTATAGGTGTGAGCAACTGCGCCTGGTCTAAGTCCATTCCTTAACTGTTTTGTGAGTTAAAACGAGTGCCTGGAACACAATGGCATATTGGCAGTAAGCTAGAGTAACCACGAATAGGAGAAAGGGCAGAATCTGGGTTATTTTAAATTTAATTATTCACAGTCAACAAGTTGGATGTTCTTACATTGTGTCTACAGGGTTCCTACTCTGTACTTTTTTTGAGATTGGATAAGTTTAAATGGATAAGTATCAATCCATTAAGTTAGAAAAGAAGATCCTTGCTAATATGTTTATTTCTTTATTTCTGTCTTCTAAAACATGCACATCAATATACAAACAGACATGCTAAATTTTTCTAAGTTGTTAACTTGATATTCTCTTTTACCTGTAAATGAATAGCTTTTGATAGGAAAAAAATTATCATTTCTAAGCTTTGCAAACCATTTTGAGCTGTCCAAATTGCTAAGTTAATTTTTGGGAACTGTTCAGCATAGAGCAGTAATTAACAAATGTCAGTAGCAGTCTTTACTAAACCACCTATTAACAGGTATTTATGACTAGTGGTAATAAAAGATTTGGGCAGACTTTTCCCCATACTGAATAATTAAACATATTGGCTAGGATGGGAACAGATTAGTTTAAGAAGCACTGGAATAGGGATAGGAGATTTGTATTCTGTCACTAACTAGTTTTGAGACCTCTTTATGTTGATTTCCAATTGGAAGTAAATTTTTCTCCTGACATTTTACAGGGTTATTGTTAAGATCAAGTGAGATAAATGACATTTATGTTAAAGAATTTTGAAAAGTTAAAGTGCTATGTGAATACAGAGCATTATTCTTTGTTGCCCATCACCCTGTTTTTAAATTTCAGTTAGTATGTGGGAGGAGCAATCTAATCTCTTTGGGAGGTTGATTGCTTGCCACTCCCCTCCCCGCCATGTATGTAGGAAAGTAGGCCTCTCTATAGGATAATCAGAGGAAAAACTCCTGGGATGGTTTGTGTTTGCCTCAATTTCCTATTTTCGTTTGTTATTCTCATTAAAGATTTTTTATGATTTAATGTTTTCTTATAATGGAAGCGTGGGAAGCTGGGAATGGAATGAATCCTAGTAGAAACACAGAGCCTAAAAGCCTGAACATCCTGTATCTTTTATGGTTCATTAAGAACAAAGTATGTTTGAACCAGCCTCCCAGTTATCCAAACTCAAATTTGAGCTTTTTACTAAAAAAATCCATTACAGAAATTTTCCGTATATACAAATATAAGTAGAGTAATATAATGAAATGCCATGTGTCCAGCGTTCAGCCTTAAACATTAGCAGCTCATAGCTAGTCTTGTTTCATTACGACTGCACGCCCTTCTGGGTCACTTTGAAGCAAATCCCAAATATCCAAATTTCATCCATAAATATTTTGGTATATATCTCTGAAAAGTAAGGTATCTTTCAAAATATATGAATACAATACCTTTATTCCTTTATCAGTGCCAAGTATCAAATTAATGTTCAAATTACTGTTGCATATTTCACATTTTTTTTTCATATTGGCTTTTTCTAATCAGGATTCATACATGCATCCAGTTGTGTGTCTCTTAAATCTGTTTCAATTAGTAGGTTTTCCTTTCTTGTTCCCCTTTTTCTCTGTAATGTATTTGTCTTACAGAGTTTCTCATAGTCTTTATTTCGCTGATTGCATCCCTGTAGTGTTGTTTACCATATCTCTGTCTCATTTATTTTTGTAAACAGGAACTGTAGAGACTTGATTAGACACCAGTTTGGTTTTTTATTGTTGTTTTGGAAGGAATACTTCATAGTTAGCTAACATACTCCTGCCAGGAGCACATAATACTAAGTTGTTACTCTTTTTATAAATGTTCGCAACCATTGATGTTTTCCTAGACCAATAATTTTGTAAGGGGTTTGCAAAATGGTTGTATTCTAATTGTCACCCTTTCTTCATTTCTTTTTTTTTTTTTTTCCCCCGTGGCAGGTAATTGAAGCTTTCTTCATTTCTTAGCTGGAATATTTGGAAACTTCTCATTGACTATTGGATTACTTTCCTGTACAGTTTATATAAGAAAGACAGGATAAATGCTTGCTTGTTCCCCCTTTATTAGTTTTTAGAATAATGAGTTGATTACCAAGCATCCATCAAAAGTGACCATTGAGGGGTTTTTTTTGGTTTAAGTTTCATTGTGGACTCAAGGATTTTTTTTTTTTTAAACATATTTGATGTTTTAAATCTATCACAGTTATTATTCTTATTGACGCTCAAAATGCTCCAACTTTGGTAGTGGGAGCCTCTGCATGGCAGCTCCTGAGTGTTTTGTTTTTGAGACAAGGTCTTGCTCTGTCACCCAGGCTGGAGTGCAGTGGAGCAATCATAGCTCACTGTAGCCTCAAGCTCCTAGGCTCAAACAATCCCCCTACCTCAGTCTCCAAAGCAGGGACTACAGGTACATGCCATCATGCCTCGCTAATTTTAAAGAACTCTTTTTTTGTAGAGACAGGGTCTCACCATGTTGTCCCAGCTGATCTTGAACTGTTGGCTTCAAGCTATCCTCCTGCCTTTGCTTCCCAAAGCACTGGG